AGGATTATTTCCAAGACTCGTGATAATGCATGATGCACTATGAGTAAAAATAAAAGTTCATTTAGCTGCATCTATGGTATCTGTTCAACAAAGATCTAAATGTATAAACTGATCACAGAGTTTGTGTCTCTGCTTTAAATACTGAGCCAGACTGACAGAGTAATGTAGGAGACTGTGATGGACACCAGATATAAAGAGAAGCAGCTCTGAAGACTATCAGTTGTTTTGGGGGCAGATACAGCAGCAAGATCTTTGTCTACTACTTTCGGACCATTATCGTCTGCCAGGGTGAGAACGCAGGTCAGTGCAACAGGCTGCTGGACTCCAGCAAACACCTGTGTACCTGCCCCTATGGTCAGCATGGAGACAGTGACCAGAATAGGCTATGATAGTGACCACAGCATGACAGAGAATAGACACCACACCAGCTAAACATATTAATCTTACACATCAACAATTATTAAACAGGAAAGTTACTTATTCCTGGAAACAGTAGAGTGTGTGTTTCAACATGACCTCAGTGTCTGCATCTGTTTTGCAACCACCTGCACCAGAAGCTCTGATCTGTCCCTTTAACCTGGAGGGATGTCGGCAGATTCCCGTTAGTGAGTGTTTGTCAGCAGATTCCCGTTAGTGAGTGTTTGCCCTTAGAAACAAACAAACAGTCTGTTTTAGTATTCTCTGCCAGCCCAGCAGCTGCTGAGTAGTTCAACTTGAAAATGTACATCTGCTCACAAACTAAACACCAATGTAACATCTATGCATGAAGGTAGCAATGCTTCAGTGGTGATACTTGATAATTAGGTTTGGTTTGGTTTTATTCTGTGTAGCTTTATGACCCATATGAAATATTTACTCATCAGATAAAGATTGTGACAGCACTGATGGCTCTGCTGCAGATAAGAAGAATAAAGATGACTGGAAAAAAAAACACCCAGAACAAACAGAGTCAGCCAAAGTCTGTAAGCTTCACTGAGAACAAGGTGCAAGGAGCTGCTGGACTCAAACACCTGCAGATATACTGACCACAACATGACAGAGAACAGACACCACACCAGGAGGATTTACCAGCTAAACACATTTACAGTATCTTACACATCAACAATTATGAAACAGGAAAGTGTCTCCAGCCACAGTGAATTCTTCTTCACAAACAAGAAAACTTTTAGTGGAGTCACTAAAATCTGTGCAGCAGCAAGGTGACTGAACAAGAGCTTTAATCAATAATCAGTAAAAGTGGAGCTTCAGCTTTGCTCTGAAACTGGAACCACAGACTCTCAAATGGCACCTTTCTTCTGATTATTCTGATCAGCTGTGGAGTTAAAACACATTCAGTAAATCCAAGCAGCTCCTGTGGTTCAATATTCTACACTCCAGGTTCACTTAGTTTCACAGCCATCGTCTTCCTCAGACAACAGAACAGCTCAGGTATAAGGTAAATAAATAATATGGCAGAGCTGTGAATGACTTCAGGAGGGTAGGATCCATTTTGTTTGTGTTGTAATGAGAACTGCAAACGTGTGTGTTGTGACTGTACCCTCACCATCATCATCATCATCATTCACATGTATATGCTTCATTTCTACATTGTGAGAACATTAATAATGGCATGGTGATGCAGTGGTTAGTGCTGCTGCCTCACAGCAAGAAGGACCTGGGTTTGAACCCTGGCCGACCCAGGGCCTTTCTGTGCGGAGTCTGCATGTTCTCCCTTTACCTGCGTGAGTTCTCTCTGGGTGCTCTGGCTTCCGTCCACAGACATGCAGCTTAGGATGACTGGTGACTCTAAATTGCCCGCATGCGCTCACGTTTGTCTACTGTACATGTCAGCCCTGTGATAGACTGCAACCATGTGTCATGGGCTTGTTTGTAAAAGTTTTAATGGATATTTCATGTGAAATACAATGACAAGACGCAGTGAATATTAATTAAACTTCTCCTTCTTCTATTGGCTGTTTCTGTTAGGGGTCGCCACAGTAAATCATCTGTTTCCACCTAACTCTATCCTCAGCATCCTCTACTCTCACCCCAGTTAACTTCATGTCCTCTTTTAGCACATCCATATATCTCCTCTTTGGCCTTCCTCTTGACCTCTTGCCTGGCAGCTCCATCTCCAACATCCTTCTACCAGTATAACCACTATCCCTCCTCTGCACATGTCCAAACCATCTCAATCTGGCCTCTCTGACCTTGTCCCCAAAACA